ACAATCGTGGATGGCTGCAAGGGGCACGCATATGTAGACGCATGTGTACATACACATGTACTTGCTTATGTACTCGTACGTGTATGAGTGTGGTGTACACTGCATGACTCACTTTGTGTTGCATGATGTGTACAAACTTACAGATTGTAAACAACATATGCCTGCATGCGGTGTATATATGCATATACATACACGGATGTGTATATATATATATATATATATGTATATATACATAGGTTTTTACGTATGTATGTATGTTTGTATGCATATGCTTGTTTGTACGCGTGTATATGGATATGTAGATGTATGTGTATGTGTACGTGTGTGTGTGCATATATGTGTACATACATGTATATTTGTACGTGTGTGAGTGTGTATGTTTATATATATATATATATATGGGTGGTTGTCTAAATTAGGGTCCCTTTTTGGGGGTAACCCAAATATTAGGTGCCGTGCTAATATCATAAGGACCCAAACAGGGACCCTGACAAGCACCCGCATGTAATATATCCACGTGTGTTTCTCGATCTCTATCTCCGTAGACGCCTTGTGAGTCTTCTGCATTTGCGTGTTCTGAGAAAGCAGTGCTCTGAAGGGCTTTGCACTCCAAGTGTTTGCAGAGCGCATGCGCGCGCACATGGGCGGGAGTGTTTCGAGTGTTGTGCTTGCACTTGGTGTCACGATTCTCCGTGCATGTGTGTCATGTGCTGACCGTGAATAAGCGTGATTCCTCATAGCACATCGTCATCGCTTGGCTGTCTGCCAGCGCGTGCTTCTGTCTGTCCGTGTTTGTGGTCCGTGCGCACCCCTCATGTTGTGAAATGTAACGTCGTCGCCAGGGTGCTCGTCTGTGAAAGCAGGGTCTGCGCGACCCTGCGATGAGTAAAACGAATCAGCTGTGATGTTGATGCCCTCGACCACCTGGAGAGTACAAAGGGGTGTCCGTAGCCGCATCGGCGTGCAGTCAGAAATCATCCGAAACATGCGGTACAGAGCTCTTGGAACAGTACCGGAACCTTCCGTTGATGTTTACAACTTTTGACCCTGCTGTTCGTGCCTTCTGCGCCCCCAGAGCTTCTTGCAGAGAGCTGGCGACGAGCGAAGTGAGTTCCTTTGCCGAGTTTATTGGAATCTCGTTGATAAGCATGCAAGTGCACTGTGTACTCCACAATAGTATATTTCAACAAGAGTCGACAGTAAACTAAGACTGAGATCGTGTTGAATCGGCTTCCGTGCCTGACTGTGGTCTCACTTACACATGCACTGCGATATCTAATCACGGCCAAACTTACAGGCATGGCACGGGGTACAGGGGAGCAACGCTTGTGGTTTGCGCGCTGGCGAGTCCACCTTGCAGCACCATACCTCGCTCTTTGCATCCCAAACCATTTCCGCTACAGTACTCAAGGCTCAAGCAGAAGTTGAAGCGTCACTTTAACTTTGACCATTTTACAGGAAGCCCGAATGTCGTGGCAAGCACGGAGCCTGACCCAACTCAAACCCAACGACCGCGAAGTCAGCGATACCCTTCTCTCCCTCTTCCTTCGCCAGGGTTGTGGTAAGGAGCTACCCCCCACCGAAGGCTTTTGCGGGGCTCGCTCTCGCACTCTCTCTTTTCTTTCGCAAGGGTAATGGTGGGGGAGCTACCCCCACCCACGCACGTTAGCGGCACCCTATACTCTCTTGCTTGCTGGCTTGCTTCTATACTATATATATATATATATATATATATATATATCTCTCTCTCTCTCTTAATATCGCGTGTTGTCTATGTCAGCTCCCATTTGAGTGCCATGTCAATTCTGCTGCTGGCTCACAAACCACCTGTTCCGAACTTCCATATAGTCATCCGCCCTTCACATCGGAAACATAAGGAGTCGGCCATATTGGCTCTTCTTGCAAACGCGCATCTGCATCTGGCATACAGAGGTCGGAGATCAAGTACGGCTCGGAGCCCTTAGATGGTAAGATTCAGCAGCTTTGTGCAGTGGCCGAAGCTGACATGCTTTCCGTGAGCTCCCATCCGCGTGGAGTCTCACCAGATGCAACAGCCAACGTACAAGCACATGCCCTGTTATGGCACCACCTCCTTTCCCGCGTTGACATTGTGTATCTTCAAGACAACGCGAAGCATCTGCAGGTATCACGATTCCAATGTGAAAAATGAGTCGGGGTCCACGACAGGTCGAGTCCTAGTTGGATTTGTGGCATAAACGCTACAGGCACATTGCCGCATTGCCCAGGTGCTAGCCTCTACTACAGTACAGCTACTATACGGCCTCAGCAGCGCCGGGCCACGGCATGGGCATCCGGCGAATCGAAGTGACCTGATGACCAGCATCGGGCTTTCTCCTTGAAGGATTTCTGTTCGAGAAAAGTGGGGACGCCGTGCTTCGTCTTGTTGATCAAGACACGAAACGAAAGCTGACTTCGCAAATGGTCCCAAATCGTCCCACAGTGAAAAACACTCACTAAGTCTTTAAGTCTTGATCACCGAGGGTTGCTCTAATTGGACCCGGAACTGCTGGCAACGCAGCAAGCCACTGTAGTTCCGCTGCACCAGTGCAGATCCTGCGGAGGCGACGCTCACGCACCCCACCTTCCTCGGCACACAAGCACCAAGGGAAGCGGTCCACAAACAGCCCGGGTTTGCTTGATGCAACACCCTGCATGGTCACCGATCTGTTACCACACTATGAGTGGAGTCGGGGCACACCCATTCCTGGAGGCACCCGCAAGTGCCGAGCCGAACGATAGCCATGGGGCCTTTCCTTGGAGACTTTCTGTCAACTCTTTAATTGAGGCTTCTGGAAGGCTTTGGCCGACTGGAAAAAAGGTAACAGTCGCACCAAGCGTCACAATGGCACGCGCTTCTCGCACGAAGAAGTCCTGAAGCGCACCAGAGACAGAAACAAAACACTTAACCTGCCCTGTATAAGATGTTGTTGATGTAATCGATCGTGCAGTGCATCATGTGACTGGTCATACACTTAGAAGACTAAACCTGAGCTGCCGAGGGTCCATCATGGACAAGCCCATGCCGATCGATATGATGCTGAGCCTTGAAAGCTGAACGGAAGGGCGGACAGCATGCTGAAACTCAGCCAACGACTGCATGAAAAATCCTCCCACATGAAGTCACCAAATCGACCCTTCCATGATACTACCCATGCGTCCCATCTACGGCCAGCCCAGGTCGCTTGAAAAGCACACATAGCCAAAACCCGCCTCTGGTTGTTGTAAAGGCCGGTGTAGGCCAAGAATCCCCTGTCCGATGCCAGCTTGAAGACCTCGGAGCCCTGCATCTTGGATGAGGAGTGGTGAACATCTCGCGTCTGGCTTTGATGACGAAGGAATTTCGTAGGGGCCTTTCCGGCCTTCCTACGCTTCGAGATGCAACCTGCAGCCAGAACTACTAACTAGAAAATACCACCGAGTTGTTGCGTCCGCTTTCCGCGCCTCCGGTGACAGAAAACCACTTAGCAGCTCAGCTCGCGAGTGGTGACCTCGGATAGGACCAGGCTCACATCGATCTTTTTCATACCTTCAGCCCGATGCGGTGATCAACTGCCCAAGTCAACGCCTGAATGACACCAAGTCCAATCCTCTCTGCTCTGAACTGGCAATCTCGTGAACTTTGGCATCGATGAATACTCTACTGCAGTTGTAAGGTGCTGCACAAATGCGCGGAACCGAAAGCATCCCCAAGTTCGCATTCCGAACACACTGCCATGGAATGCTGTAGTTCGGCTGCAAACAGGCCGCCCACAACCACCACTCGGTTGGCAATCTCCTGAAGATGATTTGCAGCCATGTGCCGGCCGGAAGTTAGCCCCAGCCCTGATGCTTTTCAACTGCTTAGAGTTCGTTCGAGGAGGTGCAAATCGGCAAAGTGCTGTTGTCGGCCTTTCGGCATTCTGACATGATTTTGGCGAGTCTCGTCGTCGGTCAGCCCAAGATGTAGCACACGTGGTGGATCCCCACTCCTCTGTTGTGTGGGCCGCTTCTGCAGGTGCAGCCAAGCTTTCGTCTGATATGTTCCCTGCGCCTGGGAACACCGTTCGTGTCCGCATACACGGACTTGGACTGCACAAACGCCTGAAACGGCAAGCAAACGTTGCCGAGGGCACTGTCCAAATCTCTCTTGATCATGAGTTACATCTTTCTATCTGCCTGTCTATGTATCTCTTGTGTGACTTTATTGATTTTTGCTTCCTTTGATAGGACAGTCAATTCCGTCAGCAATCTCTGCAGAATCGTACTGTTAGCTCACGATAGTCTGAGACCTGTTCCGAGAACATCAAAGCCATCACTAATCTCTTCTGCAAACAACAAGCAGTTCAGCCTTTGCAAGATCTTGCAAGCAGCTGCCTAACCTGGAAATGATGCCTTGACAGATCGGAGGGTCCCCAAAGCATGGCTACGATCAGCTCTGCAAAGCAGACGTCGCGCCTGAGAGTCGAGCCTTGCCAAGGCCTCCCATCTGCGACGATTCTTAGTTTCTTAGACTACTCAGACATCTCGCAGCAATCTCAGCCGACCTTCCGCCGCTTGGCTGCTGGCTCCTCGTCTGCCATGGGTCCAAGGACGCAGCGAGGGCGGCAGCTACGGCTGCGAGGGAAGGCGGGAGCGCGGAGCAAAAACAATCAAGTGCGTGGACGAACGATGAGTGGCAGCAAGCTGTCAAGAGTCGCGGACTCAGGTCAACAAGCCACATTCAAATGTTGCCTGCGTGGGCCTGTTCACGAGGCCGGCCAACATTCCTTTTTTATCAAGACTGTCGGGATTCTGAGTTTTAGGAGCCAAGAGGTGGCCGAACGTCGGCTCTCCAGTGGATCCTGTGTTAATAGGATAGGAAATGACCGACCCACTCCTCCCCTCACATCCTATCCGGTGATCCCTACCTATTCTTTGGCTTCGGCAGTCCATGGCTCCATCTGATTTCGTCCCAGCTTCAGAAGCTCGCCAAGCCCACCTTGTCCTCGAGCAGTCAGCCGTCAGCCGAGCAAGCCGGAGCCTTCGACCATTCAAATTCAATTCAAAGGTGGTCGCTCGTGGCTGCAAGCCAAGCCTCTAAGGGCAAGCAGCGCGCTTCCACAGGCCGCCTCGGTCCAATCGGCGCTCTGCACCTGCACAGTCTTTGATCTGCCAGTGGTTCAGGGTTGAAAAAAAGTTAGCATGCTGAAGTTACAGTAACAGTACCATTGCAGATTCGCCCCCCGGGGCTCAAGGGTACTTCTCTGCGCTGCAGTTGTTGGCGAAACTGAACCAAATCCTTATCTCGCCAACTGTTGAACTGTTGAATCTCTACAAACCCCTGTAGGCCTGCACGCCAATGAGTCGTTGCCGGATTTGGCGCCTTGTACAGTGCATCTAGTTTCTCAGGAGGATCACGGCCGAAGTCTTGCTAGCAATGCTACAAGACTTCAGCCTCGGTTCTACCACACTTGTGTCGGAGTCCACGCAGAGAGTGCTTCACACGAAGGTCATTGAAGATCAGGCGCCACTTTGAGTTTTTCGCGCCACCCCCGGCGGTCACGACCTGACCATGAAAGTTGACGACAGCATGTGAACAACTGATGCATGAATGGGTGCTGTATTTGCTTCTTTCGCACTTGTCACTGGTGTGCTCCAGTCGACTCTTAGTGGGTCGAATCCACTCATGTGCTTTTAAGTTCATCATAGCTACCTTTATCGTGCTCGCGGCTCTGAACAATGACGGCAACTTCGTCGCGGCGACTTGCCTGTCGCGCCTGTGGCTTCGGAGGCGACCACTTGAACTCATGTCTTGCGTAGTTGGAGGATATTAACGGCCGTGGCAAGCACTGTAGCTCACTGAGGCTGTGTGAAAATATAGATGCCTCCTGGTAAAAAATTGCATCGCCATTGCTCGACGTTGGCGCTTGGGACTGTGAAGCGCTCAAATGCCACCCAGTTGGCCTATATGGTTCCGTCCTTGCTGCGTCAGAGTTTGGGGTTTACCCTGGAGCTGATTCGGCTTGGATCCTTCATGCCTTGCCCAACTCTTCCAGGCCCCCGGCACGACAAACGTCCCCTGCCCCGAGCTCGGCAAGCTTTCCGTACCCAGCGGCCTGACATCAGGGAAAGCATCAAGAAATGGAGCCGAAGCAGTGAGCCATTGGCAATGTCGTCGGAGTGGCTCGTGCGTGTTGGTACAGTGAGCTGGCTCTTGGCATGCATCAAGTGCCCTGCTTTAAGCACGAAGCCCGTCACACTTGTGCCATGCAGGACTAACCAGGCATGAAAATATGTGGAACGATTGATGTTCATTCGGGCGGTTCCGGTCACAGTAACAGCTGGAAAATTGCTCGGACCATGTCTATGCAGAACCCACCAAGACCTCGGGCTGCTTTGCAGCCGTCAAACCTGCTGGGAAGCATTGGCTCTTGCGACTTCCGGTTCCTTATAGGTTCCTTCAAAACGAGAATTCTCCTCAGTCATGCTGGGGCGAAATCCGAGATTCCCTTCAGAAGGCCACGGACACCATGAGCGCATCTTCTGCATCGTGGACGTCCCCTGCTTCAGAAGACTGCCGCACCACTCGAGCTGCTGGAGAGGGATCCTTCGATAATGTCTAGAGTCTAGTTATTGAGTGCAGAGAGCAACAGTGAGCGCTTGATCAACACACAAGATGAAGTGAGCTTCCAATTGGACTACAGATCATCTCGCTTTGTGCATCTTGCCGCTATAATGTCTACAGCACGGCCTCTCTATAACGTTGGCACAAACGATGGAACCCTTGCAGCGTAGAAGTGGTAAAAGGCGAGTGCAGAGTTCAGTGTGGAAACAACAAGCCTGCTCAACGTGGATTATGATTAGACGTCTGTGTGCTTGTCTACATGCTGTGAGCCATGGCATAGAACCGTCAGCAATGCAAAACTGTGAGAAACAGCATGCAATACTTCAGCACGAAACATCAGAGACAAACGCTGTGCAGCCTCCCCTGCTCCAGCAGTGGACCCGTCATTCAATTAAACGATGGACCAACCTAGGAATTGTCACTTCTCAAGGAAGGGGGAGGCATCAACCGCCCGAGAAGATTCCAACGATCTGAATTCTTCCACTCGCGGCTAGGTCCACCTGGCCTGGTAATGTTGAATCGTCGAAGAAAGAAAACTCGAGCCCAAACCCAAACCCGAAGTGGGCAAAGCGGCAAAGATCACGGGAGAGCCAGGTGCTTACCAGCAATCCGGCAGCCTGCAGCTCCTGGTAGCTCAAAGGCGAGCCTGTGCCGCAGTCAAGCTCAAGACGCTCATGCTGCGAAAATGAGAATCCCCTTTAGACCTGACCTGAGGCCGTCCAAACTCCAAACCACGGCCACCTCTAAACCTGCAGTGGCCTGTCATGCGCAGGACGTGGCTGACCTTCAGGACTCCGGGGTCAGCACAGCTCGGCTCTCACTATCACGTTCACGGGTAGCCTCCTGTTCGCAACTAAACTCTGTGGGTTGGCATCTGCACCTTGACAGAGGTGATATTAGAAATGCCCGTTTCATTCAAAACAAGCGACCTTCATCACCCACATGGGGAAATGCTCCTCGTGAGGGCGAGTCGACCTGCACAATGGAAACGTAGGGCAGCGCAGGGGCCTTTTCATCGCTCAACTATGTCAGCCTTCGGTGCTCCACCGGTTGGCCGCTGCAAACGCCCATTGCAAAAGTCAGAGGACGGTTGAAGCTCCGCAGCCAGTTGTCACCGAAGTGTCCGGGCTTCCTGCCTTGTGTCATCATGCAGCTGCAGCTGTTGAGTCTGTGCTGGCTTATGTTGGGTGTCATGAAATCTGCAAGCCAGCTCCTGCAGTGCTTACTGAGCACCTAGGCCGAACAACAGCATGCCTCAAGAGCTTGATTATGCCGACCGCCGTGGCTTTGCAACGAGGGAGCTTGTACTGCGGCCATGCAAAAGCTTCTTTCATCAACAGCGGACAGAATCCTGCAATCCCGAAACACGCCCTGTCAAGTCACCTGTCTCCGCCCACAAGCATCACAACAAACAAGTGTGCAACACTTGATTCCGTGATGTCCCCAAACTGGAAGCCTCGATCCGCGCCATGCCTTCTAGGATGCCATGCAGGAACTGAGCCTTCATGGACGCTTCGTAAAATACCTACAATACTGTGGATTGGAATAGTCTACTGTGCATGAGCCTGACGACGGAACCAAGGTCGAAACGACACCGTGTCATATCATTAGAACACTTAAGTCTTGTGACTCATTCATTCGTGGTGCTTGCTTTTTCGGCTTCCTGTTGTCTGGGAAATTGATGCGGCGATGTTGCGGAACCACTACTTCTAGTAGCTACTGCAGAAATGTGCTGCGCTTGGCAGATTGAACTCTGCTTACGTCTCGTTGATGTTCGCGCTGTTACGTTTTGGATAGTGTGCGACTTCAGTAACACATAATGTAAGACTGAACGTCCCGGGCAACTATGAATCTTTTCCTGTAAGCGCGAAGTCGCGTGGGTGTCATTGCAATGTCTTGCTTGAGATATGTCGTTATAATGTCAATATCTGCATGGTTGTCCTGATCTTGTTGTGACACCTCGTGCTGGTTCGAAAACTTATTCCGTGATCAAAGCGCATCATTTTCTGACGCTGCTTTATCAGCCCTCAAGAGTAATGAAACAGATGGCTTCTATTGACCACATGCGTCATGGTACACTTCGTAATCGTCCATAGGGAACGGTTTAGGGGACGCTTCCGGGGTACATCGGGGACGCTTCGAGGGTACATAGGGGACGGCTCGAGGGTACATAGGGGACGCTTCGAGGGTACATATAGGGGACGCTTCGCGGGTACCTGTACCATCGGACCGTGCCCAATTGGGGTCCATGTCATGCTAAATGGGGTACGGTACGATGGTACATAGGGTACGGTACATGGTACGGTACAGTGGTACACATGTCATGCGTACCGTACCTGTTGTACCGTACCATGCGTACCCCTTGTACCGTACCATGCGTACCCCTTGTACCGTACCATGCGTGCCTCATGTACCGTACCATCGTCCTGGGTCCTGGCATATGCAATAGAGCATTACTCTTGAAGTTAGATAAACGCTGCTGTCATCTATACTGATAAACCCGCACGCAAGTGTGCTACCCATCCTCCCCTACCTACATCACACTTGGCTCCCTTCTCGATTTGTGCGTGTCATCCTTGAGCAGGGGCCATGCTACATCATATAAACCACATAGTACAAGTCTTCAGCAGAGCGTGTTCATGTATCCATGCTCGAAGAGACATCTGCAGACTATCTGATGTCAAGACAGGCAAAGAAACTGGCGCACAAAAAGGTGCACTGCCGCATTTCATGCATACCAAAAGTGCTTCGACCACGCGTTTCGACCACGCTACAAGTGGAGTGGTGCCGTGCCGAAAAACACAAAACAACCTGCAAGAAGTCCGACACGGGTGGGGTGGACTACAACAAATCTGGGTGGAACAAATGCTTTCTAAAACACGAAAAGGTGGATTATGGTATGCATACCTCCAGGTTTGCCGCAGCTTTTAACCGAAGCTTGCAAGGCTATGTGACTGCCGCTTCTCAAACTCGATGGCACTTTAGGCTTGTTTCGAGGTATTCAGTTTCTCTCTCCCTACCTGGGTCCCGAGCATCGGAGGCAGGTCGCGGCTCGAGCCGCGGCTGCAATGTGCTGTCGCACACAGGAAAGCGCCTCTGCCAAGTTTACGGCCAAATATAATTCTTCTCAACTTGCAAGTTTCGTGGAACGCCTCAACCCGGATCTGTTGTTCGAGGTAGGCTGAGGCTGCAGGTCAACCAACGTCACTCACCCTTTCTCAGGCTTGGGCTGGCCCGGAGATGGCAGTGGATAGTAGTCCAAACCTGCAGTTGCGATCTCACGTCGAGGGTGCTTTTTTACACTACAGGTCTGACGGGGATGAATTCAGATCGGCCGGTGCGAGACAACGTAGAGCGCAGACTTATTGACTGTCAACGCTACTGCACACCGGCTGCCTGAATCAGCTTCAGGATCGATTTCATCACTCAGCTGCTTCAGAGCCTGCACTGATGACAAGTCCGACAACAACAAACTCGCAGACCCGTGCCTGTTTAACTATTGCTCAAGTTCGCAGGCCGATCCCCATGACTTTCTCTTCTCTCTGTTGATCTGGTTTGGAGCAAATCTCTGGACATAATGTCGGACATAATATGAGCAGCCATGCCAGCCTTGTCCGTGAAGAATTTGCCTGAGATGCCGCATGCTTATATACAATGACACAACGGGCTCTCTCCAAAAGGCAGCGAATCTATGGACAAGCTGCGAAGAACCACCCCTCCAGTGTTGGAAGCTCCTCCAACCTCAGTTCTTCCCCCTGATGCTTCCAATGTAAGTTCAAATGCAGCTTGATTGCAGGCACATTAAAGAAGGTGTGACCTTTTCTGCAGAGTCTGCGGCAGGGAGCTACACAATAGGCATCTTTAGCCAGAGCAGCTGCACATAAACAAACCTCAAGCGAAGGCCTCCAAAGGCCTCTACTTCTCCACCTTACAATCGAGGGTCCTCGCACATCTGAAAGCCACCGAGGCTTCTTCTTCCCAGCATCCATCCTGTGTCTACAGACTTCCGCCGATGCGATCCTGCCACTCAGACTGCCAATGCTTCAGGGGAATGTTGCGCTGCGCGAAGCCGAAATGTGGGTCTGCCAGCAGCGAGGAATGCTTCCTTGTTTTTGAGGCACGTCTGGTGGCAATTCATCTATGATCTATGCTCATCTATGATCGATGTATCGAACATATCACTGATGCAAATTTGAATGTGGGAGGCCCGATCAACAAGCTTCTTAGCCCTTCGCTATGGCCGCCGACGCAACACTAAGTCAGGCCATGCAGCCCTTTGACTTCCTTCGCCGAATGGTAGTTAACGGTTATAGGCGGTTAGACAAATCCTTCCTACGTTACGAGGAAACGATACATCGTGCCGTGACGGCATAGCAGCACAAACTACACACCCCACGTTCGACATGTCACCCCCACTGGTCCAATGGCTTTCAGACTGCAGGGAAACAAAACTTCAAACAATGAATCAACACGCAAGGTTTTAATGATGCGCTGCGGAGTAAAGGGTGGTGCCCACCACAAGGCCTTAGCTTAGGGTTCATGTAAACACACCTTGCACATTCTCAGCCGGCCAAGCATGTGTAAAACCACCATTTTCCTTGATTGTCTACCTTCTGTGCCTGGATGCTTTCTGTAGGGACTCATCCCATCCAGGACAAATCTACACTGGAGTCCGCCATGCGGCGGGCATTCACACAATGACTGAGTCTTTGTGCCAGAGGGCTCCAGCCTTGCGTCCGCATAGGCGAGGACTGAGGATACCGCAGGAAGTTGGCAGGCGTGGGCAACATGATCGCCAGGGGGCTCACGGCTCAGAGGCTGCTGGCCACGCTGGCCTTGCCCAAGCCTTCTTCTCGACCTTCTGTCGAGTCGCCCAGAAGCTGTCGAAAGCATCCTGGGCAGATTGTGCTTGGCTGTGTTTCAATGTCATAGATGCCCTATTTGTACTTCCATTTGGCACTTCAGTCTTAGCAGCGTGCCGCTTTCCATCGAGCACTCTCTAGGCAAAGCACGGAGTTAAGTTTGCACAAACCTGCGCAGCTGCCATTACCGGATGTGGGTAGACATCTGGCTGCGTCACCTTGTGCAACTTCGCCTACACTCTGTATCGATATCCGAGCATGACCGAGTGACCGTAATGTCAGTGTTCCACGTCCCATGCCGTGATCGTTGAGAATAGTCATGGACTCATGGACACACAGCAGCCTCTGACACATAAGATGCTCTCCGACTCCATTGCAACAAGCGCAATATATCCAATAGAGTCACATCGCGAAATCGATAAACGGAAAAAAGATACGAGGGGATGCAGCCCCAGAGTCTGGCGATGTCCAACACACTCTGACGGCCCATCAAGATGTGGTCGTCATCCTGATGTGGCTGACGCGGCAATCAATCATGACTCGACAAAACAGCTCACTTCGCAAAAGCATGCTCATCTACATCCATCATCAGACGAACAGCCTCCGATAACCTCTGCACCTCTTGCGAGATACCTGCCCTTCCTGTTGCCAAACCGGGGCCCAAGCCTATCAAATCAAATGCTGGCAAATGTGATGGAAGGGACCGTCCTACTGACATCCTGCAATGCACCTGCAATGCCGCGCACCAATGTGGTCCGGACTCGTGAAAAACCTGTAAACTGCTAAGCCAAGCTACGCAAAGATGCACGGTACAGCCGGCTGCACGCAGCTCCTTGCATGCAGCTTTGGTACGAGTTCGAAACTAGCGCTGGCATCAAACTTCTTTGTGTTGCAGATGTGTCTCCTTCGGTAAACTCATGCTCTTGTAGCTCCGAGTGTCGACTGGCACATCCGAATTACGGGACTGGCTGACAGGCACATGCCAGCAACACCCAGAAAGCCGAGGCTCTTGTACTTGTACAGCTGGGCAATACCGGTCATTCAAGGCCTTGGAAGCTAAATGCCGGCTGAAGGGTTTTACGGCCCACCCCTTGCTGATGGCTCTTTGTGCGGCTTCCCAGGCTAGTGGCAATGCAGTCGAAGTGGCATGGAAAACGTGTACTGAAGGCCACGTCTTGTTCGACAGGGCTAGGGTGGTGCAGCCGATTCGCGCCAGCGCACGATATGTAGGTGCCAAAAGAACCTTACAAATAGCAAGCAAGTATGTGAGGCAGTGGCAGGCAGCAAGTGCTCAAATGAACAAGCAAGAGCAAGAGCGCTAAAGTTAAAGCCTTCTCTGTCTGCGCCTTTTGCATATCAGCCTCGCCCACCGGAACCGTGCATTTGGAGCTTTGAACGGTCGCCGCGTTCTGCCAAGACACGGTCGGTCCATTCCAATCCTAGAGCATGGGCATATTCATGGAAGCACGTAGTTGCCTGCATTTGACGTGCATGTGCCTGCGCTGTGAGTTCCTTCTGAAAGTGATGCCTCGCCCTACAGGCGAAGTAGTAGCCATGGATACAAGGCGCCCCTTCCGCCAGCAGCCACATGATCAAGCCACCGCCCCACGAAAAGCCCAGCAGCCTCAGTGTACATGGTGGCAAGTGGCGAGAGTCCTCGATGCAGAAATCTACACTCTAAACTGCACAGAGCATGATAGAGTTTGTAGCATCGCAGTATTTCCCCATGCCCATTGTGCGCCAACAAGATGCCACCACCCACGACAGTACCGGGTACTGCATCCCTCCATACCGCCTGGCTGCAGCTGCCGCTGCCGCTGCGAATCCGGCTAAGAAACCGAGGTGCAAGTCCGGTTCAAAATCACGGATGGCCTTGTGAAGAACGTGCTTCCTGGGAGGGGCGGTCTGAGCACGCTGGAGTCCCTCAGCCGCTTCTCAGACAGGCCATCTGCTGCAGGTTTTGCCCCTCGCTCTCTCTCTCTCTCTCTCTCTGTACCTGTTCCGTTCTGTTTTCTGGGGCGTAGGGAACGTGCGAAGTCCCCCGAGCCGATTGGAGGGCTTTGTGGGGAGACGCGAAAAGACAAACTCATCCTATCTGACAGTTTACACATTTTCGTTCAACTTTTTTCGAACACACTCTCTGGACGTGGGGCATTCTCTCTGCATGGCAGGACAGATCGAGTCAGCCGCATAAAGGGGGAGACGGAAAGGGCGAGGAAGCCGGGCAAGAAACCGAACAAGGACAATGGATTTTCTGAGTGAAGCTTGTTGTGCTCTTTGGTTTATTTGACTGATGCAGCCACTGGTTCACCCAAAACTAAATGCAGCATACGTGACAAAGATGCACGAGGCCAGACTAGATGATTTCAGGCTCAGGCTCACAAGTCTTGCCATGTTCCTTCGCAGCTAACACTGATTTTGCTCAGGCACCCATCTTGCAGGGCACGGTGCACGAGGCCAGCGACGCAAAGGCGCATGACGAGGGCCTGTCTTGGCAGCTTTCGTTGCACCGCACCGCGCACTAGTGGCTTGCTCGTGTGACAGATTCGCACAGCATGACACCTGGCTACGACGGCACACCGACGAAGCATTGCTCTTCACGTAACCTCGATGTGCTTAAATGCGCTTAACGTCCCTTCTCAAAGTCCAATCGGCTGCCAGCATCACCGCCGTGAACCGGAGACCCCATGCCGCACCGGACACAAACCAGAGGTCGCCTAAGCGTCAAAGCTTCAGAGTTCAGATGTCGCAAACGGGTCACTTGCGGATCGTGGTAGACGTAGTCTTGCATCCAAAATTGCAGCGGTTTTGTGGTCAAGGTTTCCAGGCTGAAAAAGCATCGTGGGTTGTGCCGACACTTTTCCTCTCCCAGATTGACATAAAGACTCATAAAGATAGGTTTCTCTTCTACTTTCTGGCCTGAGCAGATTCATAGCACTGGTGCCTCGCCAGCTCCCACAACAGACAAGCGGAAACAGTGCACATCCCGGCACGTGATGGCAAAGAGAAAGAAAGTGCATGTTTCTACGTACAGGTACGTACAAACTTAAAGGCAGCTCGCATGTGTCCCAATCCGACTTTCCCAGACTGCGAAAGGAAAGCAGGAGAAGCCCACAAACGATGGCATCCCGAAGGCCAAGGCGGCCAAGCTGCAAGCGACCAGTACCAGCGAGCAAAGTACCGCCGTTCCCGCCTTTCAAACTTTCTCAGCATGGCTATGGCCAATCGTGGTCCGCCGAGGCCTTCAGCCTCGCTGCTGCCCTCTCCCCGGCCCTGCCCCCCCCTCTCTTACCGCCCTTTCGCTCCCCCCCTCCGTTCCTCCCACTTCTGCATCCGCACTGCTTCACATTACAGAAGCAAGTTCTGTCATAGTGCTGGCTGGTCTCCGGCAAGCCGAGGCAGCGTTAAAATTAGAGTGGCGCTGCAAGGTGACACGAACGAAACACCACAAGTCAAGCGGAGGTCACGTTTCGCCTGAGCTATAAGGGATCAGCTCATCCTACCTGTTGCTCACATGTGCAGGCTGTGCAGGTTCCACTTGCAAAAGTGCGCGTAATCACAATCTCAGTCGCCCACGAGGAGCCAGCAGTACGGGCTCCGGAGGGTCGCACTTCCCAATGGTGGCTTCCTGAGGCAAATCATGCGCATGCAAATAGCCCAAGTAAAGTTCGTTTGAGGTGAATTGCTAGGCTTCTTTGGCCATGAATCAGACCGTGAGGCAGAGTAACCTCCCAACATGTCAAGTTTCCGTCCCCTCAAAACTCAAGTGCGAACACAGAAGCTGTCGTTTGAGATCTTTACATGCCAAGCTAGTGAGCTGACTCGACAAGACCCCCTCTGCTGTTATGCGAAGGACGCAGGGGCTGCTCCTAGAATTCTGAGTTTCGCTGCACATACAGCCAGGTTGTAACGCCAGCACTTGTGCAGTAGCTGATGCACACGCGGGCAAGAATGTCTCCAGGGCTCGGAATTGTAGGCTCCAGAAACTCCACAGAGGAGAAGTGTGTGCACAGGACCTTCACCGCTCCAACAGAGCGAAGCTGTCTAGACACAGCATGGTCTCAAAATCGGAAGAGGTCTGTCATGCAACAGTATACGTGAGATCACCGGTGAGATGCTTCACTGCTTTCGTGCTTTCTATTCGCAGCCTCGTCTTACCAGAGCGATAAGACCCTGGACTCTAGACCAAGGCATTTCGGCCCCAAGTGTTTACCAAGTGTCCTCCAGCGGCCCAGTCCCCCAGCCGCTCAGCATCAGAACTTTCCGACGCTCCGACATAGCGCGGGCCAGAACTTTCCCAACAATGATGCTCTGTACATTAATCAGGTCCAGGAAAGAGGAGACCTTGGTGCATCTGCTGCTTAGTTTCTTGTCTTTTGCTATTCGTGGGATTCACGCCTCCTGCTCACCAGTTTAAGACAACGCTGCACCATGTAACTTGTATAGCGGCAACTTCTGTACCGGACCAGGTCATCCTTTTGATTGACTCGGATACTGTAGGCCGCCGTCGTATCGTCAACGATGGGACAAGTTTGCCTGAAGCGGCTCTCGGAATGTGTACGTGTAAGGCCCAAGTCTGAAGTTGCTGCTCTGTGTCCGGATCCTGCATACCGCCCGAGCTGCAGGATGTCTCAATTCATCGGAATCTGGGCCCGAGACGAGCCATTGCAGCGGGCTGCCGCCCAGGCGGTGGCTGTAAACCTTGCTGGGTTTGAGCTCGCAAGTGCGGCGACCCTTGGTCAAACCATCCCAAACTCCACGTGTCAGCATCTTGTATCTTACCGAGACATCCGAGACGCGTGTCTCCGGGCCCCGAACTTTGAGCCTTGTGCTTCCTTTGTTCCCCTCCTGGGCTCCGGGCCCCGAAGGCCGCATCCTCCACTCGAACCAGGCTTCGCATCTTGATGGCCTCAGACTTCAAGGGTCGTTTTCGAGCTGCAGCGAAAGGTGTGATCACTGGGTTGGGCGAAGTGGCATGCTTGCTGGCAACAAAGGCCTGCTGCAAGGTTCGAAAAACCCCGCAGGGACGCCACCCTCTCCAACACACTCTGGACTTTCGTCTAGGTTCGGGGCCAAGGTGGAACCAAGGGACGTGACAGCTTCACCAACCTGAACGATGCTGGGCGAAGCGTCGTGAGCTGCGGACAGGTCAAGTTTGGTAATCCGATGCGCTGTTTTAAAGTTCAAGCATGGCGAAGGGAAGATACCTTTTGAACCCCCGCTTTCAACACAAGAGGCACGAACACTTTTGCTGCACCGAGGTGGTGTTAAGCCTGGAAGTTTGCAGATGCAAATTTGAGACTGACGGTTGATCCTACTGAGGCATCCCTGGCAGCGAGGTTCCTCACACATTCGAGCGATTAAGCAGGTTGCCACTGGTGTACCTGCGAAACAGCCCTACGACTACGATCCAACGGCACAACTGAATGAATTCCTGGCACCTCAAAGACTGAAAGACAAGACACTCTTCTGCTATCTCCGTTTTTCAGCCTGCGTCGTGCCAGCAGCTAGGAAGGCTGCTATGGAATCCTCTCGGCTGGGAGTGCAGGCTCTCATCAGTATTGGGCTTCCGTGAGTGATTTTCGTTCCTGCGAGACATCACGAGTCTAGAGATGGGGGCACTTGTTATTCGCCTCGTCCCTGGCCGAAGCGGTCAGAGGTTCCCACAGAGAATTATTCCGTAACAAAGCCCCCCCCCCACCCCAGCTTAAACTTGGATTTGAGGCTGGCAAGCTCTCTTCCTTGCGGCGAGGCAAGACTGGCTGGCTCACATCACTCGTGAAGTTGATGCCAAAGCCCGAGAATTCTGAGCTGTGTCGTGTCCCGCAAAGCTTGATTCCAATTTCCCCTTCCAACATATGGGAAGTAGTGAGAGGTGTAGTACGATGTTTAAAAAAGCAATGTCTATAGGATAATCATGCAGCGAATGTGCCACCTTTCGCATGGGATTGTGGCTCAGAGCCTCAGCATGAAAACAACTACTGACCCTAAACACACATTGAAGCAAATGGGCAGATTCAGGCAAGACCTCACCTGTGTGCGCTACCTGTGGCTTTCCGAACACTGCACCTGCTTCAAGTACAGCCGGGCCGAGGCGGACGATGCGAAGCGTTTAAAATTATCATTCGCGCTTGCTTCGGCTTCGTGCCGCTCGCATTTGAGGCACATGCCGCAGCCAGCAGAACCCGCACATCGAACTTGGACCATCATGGACTCCGTCGTGCCAGCGAGGACCCGGCACGACTCGGGCAGCCCCAGCCTTGGCGTGCAAAGTAAAAACCAAGGGGAGCCTCACGAACAGTGGAGCTCTATGGTTGCAACCCGCCGACCCACAACCCATATCTGCCCCCCGTTCGGTTGGATACTCTGGTACTCCGTGAAGCACAGATGTGTGCCGTCAGGACCACAGAAGTGCCGCACTGCGTCGACAACCCCATTTTCCAACAACTCTTTTGCGCCAGAGCAGCGCAGCCTAGCTTCCAGGATCAGACCTACCTAAACGTACGGGGACAGAACAATGCTCTTGAAGCTCAAGGTGCCGAAGTGTTGTGCTGTTCCGAAAAGTTCGGTTTCCCAGCACAACTGTTGCACATTTAACGCGAGACAAGTTATGCCATCTTCAAGGAAGCTCTCGCATGCCAAGGTGTGGGGAAGCACCGTCGGGGCCGTGGTGGGGGCGCTGTTTGTTTCTTTCTACAAATGGAAGAACAATCGTAACGATATCGTCTTTCTCCTAGAGCAGTTCTGCATGTACACCAGAGAAGCCCTCGTCTTCCATGTAGGGAGACAAGACACTCGCAATGCGTATAACAAATGTCAGAGCTCCTTTGAATATCTTTGGATGCGAAACTGTTGCTGCAAGCACGAACACGGAGCTCCGCTTCGTTCAGAAGCTAACAACAAATAGGAGGGATCTGACTGCGACATGTGAGCTTCTCTATGTCTTCGTGAGACACAGAAGGACCACCCGAAGCAACCACAGGGAATTGGAGAAGTCGGTCTGCCTTTTGCTCAAAAGCAAGAAGGCCCTGCATTTCTGCTTGCGAAACAAGACAGCTCCCCTACTTTCACTGAGAAACTGAGAGGTTTTATCGAATTGCGAGACAGATTCAAAAGCTCCTGCCGGGCTAGGAGGAAGAGTGGCCTGCCTACGCGAGATGGAGCAGGTGTTTGAAGAAGCACTGATGCCCCTGGTTGGGCCAACTTGATATCTGGCTGGCTGAGCTGCACGTGTAATCGGCCAACAGCATGTTTGGCTCCAGATATTGAAACTTCCAGTCTATTGCGCAGGGCGCTTTCTCTTTTTGTCAAAAGATCTTTCATTTTTCAGTCGTGTTCATCCTGGCGAATGGGAACAAAACTCAAAGTTGCATCATGTTGTGGCTTTGGGGCATTGACTTCGGTAGACTTAGTTTGTGCAAGATATAATTTTTATGATCGAATACACCCAGCAGCATGTGGCCTATTTTCTTGGAGGAGGGTGGGGCGCCCGGAAATTTGGGGGTTCGTGGGCGTGTGTCTGGAAGGGGAAACCCAGGTGGTTCCTTGACAATGTTGACCGGCTCCCTAGTATGACACTGCACCGCCAGAAAAAAGTGGAACAGGTTGAGAAGCACCTACAAGCCAACGTCTGATGTTGAGGAAATCCTCGGAGCAATCATGCAACCAAGAAACCTTTTACACAAAATAACTTCAGAAGCACTTCGGTTCCTGGGGTCCGTGCCACCTAGATGATTCTGCACCTTGGCGAAAGCAGTACCAAATAAAGCCACGAATACAGCATGCCAGAGATTTTAAGCATCACAAACTCAGACAAAGGATGTGCTATCTGCTTAGATCCGAAGGGATTCTGAGCTACGAGTGTCGTTGTTTCTCAGACTTCGACCGACATGGCCCAAGGTCGTGCCCGGAGCCACCACGCTCTGCGGCAACAGCCTGGCCTCGAGCTTGCAGGGCAGTAGACCATCTAACTAAGCCTCTGCTGGTACCAACCCGATCATGCCTATGCAGCTCTCAAGTCTTCCAACGTGTTGGTCCCGGTCTTGCACTGCACGCCCCTTTGCAGGACAGCGGGCTTGAATCGGCCGTCTATCTCGCTCGAACCAGTCAGCCCACTTGCGAACTCCTTCGCCCATCTTCTCTCTCAAAGGCTCCGCTCGCACTATCGACTGTGCTCACTGTCGCTTCTGTGCGGCCTCTTGCTTCCGGAATCGCTTGGTGGCTTGTCAGCTCCCCTCTTGTTTCCTAGGGGCGGGGCCTGGTCTGCCGTATCTCCACTCAGGTCCGCACTACCTGCTCCTCTGCAAGCAGCCACTCGGGCCAGCAGAGCCTTTCAATGTCATAGCCTCGGAAAGAGTTAGACCCATCATGACAAGTGGAGACCAAGGCTTAGACTGTAAGCTATATACTATAGACTTTAGAACGTAACGGCCGTTGTCCAACTGCTCTCACCGCCAAGATTCCGCCTTTCCAAACAAAGCGGTAGGGTCAGGCCACATCTGGACACACCGAGATTCCCGCCCAGCTTCAGGGCATTGTGATAGTCAGTACCTGCATACAGAGCCCACAGGCACGAAAAAACACCAGTGGAGGCTGATGGCGGTACAAACCTAAGTTTGGCTCAGCAAGGCATGTCCGCCTTTTTGGCATGTTTCGATTGCGCCGGCAATCCTGAACATCCCTTGGGGAGGTCTAAAAGTCTATTTTTACGTGCTAGGCATGCATCTCCTCATATCTCCTCCGGTGTGTCCGGTGGGAGAGCACCGAATTAGCGGCTCCGACTGTCCCGCTGATCTGTTATGGCAAAACTCGGACTTCCATCCTCTGCTAGAAATCGAAAATGTATCTGTTCGGGAAAGCACGAAGCCCAACGACAAAGAGTGAGCTGCCCGTTTGTCGCGCTGCTAGGCCACTTCCGGTGCCTAGTGGCGAATCGTGCAGCACGACGTCCTCTGCAGAAAACGTGGGTCAAGTAAACCCAGAGATCGAAACCATGCTTCTTTAACGCAGATAAAAGACGAGGCAAGGCATCCTCGCTTAGGCCTTTGTTGTGCCCAAACGCGAGTGGAAGCAATAAGAGAACTTGAAAGTCGGGCTGGCAAAGATCTCGGTAAAGCAATGTTCAGGACATCTTGAACAACTACTGTAACTACTGTATCAAACACTTTCAAGCTCAACGTCCAAGTAGCCTCAGTCCAGCAACAAAGTGTCCGTCTTGGTACGGATGGTAGGAATCGAGAGCCTCGGACGCCAAAGGAACTGCTGTTGCTGTTCCTTTCGGCTCGTGCCAACAAGCCTCTTTAGCTCATGGCGCGCAAAGACAAAATGAGAGCTACCTACATGCATGTCATCCGCCTACACGAAGCTAAGCCCGGCACCCCAAGGACGCACCTCCATTCACGTCGGCCTCCTTGATCCTCGGCGGCGTCACAGCGAGTGAAAAGCTAGACAAAAAAGGAGTTCCAAAATCCACAATACCAACGAAAAAAAGCGACTAAGCATCGGGTATCCGGCCAAAAACCAGGAGCTCCTTCATGCAAGACGTAGCAAACTCCCAAGCATTTTCTGAAGCGAAACCTTCACCCTGTGAGGATGCTGGCACTTATGCGAAGCGAGGAGCAAAAGCCCGATCGTCGGATCAAAGTGGTAGAGGATGCGTGCCGTGTGCTGCCACGCTTGAAAAACCTTTTCCGGAGACAGTGTGGCTGAATGGGTGGGTAGGTGTCCTTTCTTCCTTCCAGGCAGACCCGCACTGCTGCCGGGTATCCATCGGGCGAAAGGGATGGACACCCGGTAGCCCGTGTCTCTCTCTCTCTCTCTCCCTCCCTCCCTCCCTCCCCTCGCCTCCCCTCCCCTCCCCTCCCTCCCTCCCTCCCTCCCTCCCTCCCTCCCTCGCTCTCTCTCTCTCTCTCTCTTTTTTCTTTTCTCCGGGCCTGAGGGCGAGCCCCCGCGGGAGCCGCCCGACTGTTGGTTGTATGCATGTGTGTTACATGCGGGAACAACGAGCACTCCCCGGCGATACTATACTCTACGCCCCGAAAGTTCCATGACAAGAAAAGTATTGCACCCGTGTATCGCCCACTGCCGGTACTACTCCGTGGGTGTTCCACTTTTGGGTCGGCAGTTCGAGGAGGCTGGCTACGAGTGGGCCTGCACAAACACAACAACACTCACCAGTCACTTTACGCAGGTGCTGCCTACAGTGTTCCTTCCCAGATCACCCTCGGCTCCACTCCGCTTGGGCCCTTGGGCCTCGTATGGTACCTATTGCACCCCGCTTGCTGGCAGCACACGGTGTTAGCAGTACGGTAAAGATCACAGGACTGGGGCTGCATGGTACTTCTACGGACTAGGCTCTCGACTATGATCTCGGCGCTCCGGTTTCTATTGGTTCCTGCTCTCTCTCTCTCTCTCTCTCTCTCTCTCTCTCTCTGTCTTTGTCTTTGTCTTTGTCTTTCTCTCTCTCTCTCTCTCTCTCTCTCTCTCTTTTTCTTTCGCCAGGCTTGAGGGGCAAGCCCCGGGGCAGCCAGCTGTTGGCTGGATGCATGGTATTACATGCGGTAGGCTAGTGATACGAGCATGCAACATCACCTTGAAGCGATAACACGACTCTCTCTCTCTCTCTCGGACTCATTCGCCCGTGAGACACAGAAGCCAGCTATTTCGCTGCACGTCTACAAAACCGATACGAGGACTAGAAGTACCAAAGGTGCAACGACCACATGACGTGGTGAATTTGTTCGAAGCCACTTGCTGTGAGTTGTGAGTTGTGCGCGAGGAATCGGGACGTAAAGAACAACGAAAATTGAGAAATTTAGCGACGCAGAGTGTGTGAATGAGTACGTACACATAATGAGCACGCGCAGCGTGTGGCTGCATGTTCGTCTTCTTACACTCTGACATACACAAAGATCTATATCAATATCTGTAGATACATGTTCATACACATACAACTTCATTCATGTACGAATGTATGTATGATTGTGTATGTATGTATGTATGTACACATACACATATAGACACATATGTGTATGTATATATATATATATATGTATATGTATATATGTGTGTATTCTGCACATATACACCCACACACACAGATAACACACACACACACAGATACGCAACTACAACACAAGACAGGCATCTAGAGTGCATTAGCAGCCGTTGGCATGCATTGAGCGAAGCCCCTACCCGGCCAGCAAGCCTTTAAGTTTCACTGGCACGACAACGAGCAAAGTCATGTTTTGTGATCGCCTCACCGCTTTGGCTTTCCAACCATGTTCAATCCTTCGTCCCTCCCCTCGGCCTGGAAACTCCAACAAAATGGCATCAAGCCATGCTGGATCCAGTGAAAGTTTCTGCTGCTACTTCAACAACGGTGATGTCTATCCTACGTGGGCGGACCAAGCCCCTACATGCAACGGTAGCCGAGGCCCACCTCCTTAGCCGCCTCGACAGAATCGAAGGGATAGTAGAAGACGCGGCCCCAACCTTCCTGCCGGGCTCCTATACTCCCGTGCTTTATACGTCTGCATCAAGAGTTATGAAGCATGCTGAACTACTGCCCATCAAGCACTTCGGAATTTACAGCAAATTTGCCAACTGGGTGGAGGCTACCTGGAACTGCAAACAGGCAGATGATCATTCCTGATCATTCCACAGGTTGCTCGTGATATCTGCTAGAGTACTACGTCCTGCGAAGCGCCGAGGCTTGCATCAAGAATCGCAACCAGCTAGAGTAACACAAGTCCTAATGCCCTGCTGAAACACTTGCGACTGCAACATCCTGATGACTCCGGCACAAAGAGGCCAGGCCGTCCTCGGTGACAAGCACCGCCTTTGCTTCAGCGATGCTGACGGCTCCGTAGGCGTCCGCAGCCCGTCCCCGCCGCAAGCCTGCGGCCGCAAAGCGTCTGGCCAAATGACCGGCCTCTCCCGGCGATGAGACCAGGCTCAGTGGGCTCACTGGGCTCAGGGCAGTGACGGGCGTTCCACGGTTTGGAGTCCCGTCCTCGTCCCTGAGACCCTGTATTCTCCGCGTAGGTGTCTGCACATGGAGGCTGATCTCCACGTCTTGCAGCTCGGCCACTGCCGCCTTTACGGCCTTTTGCACCGCCTTCTCGACCACCTGCTCTTTCTCAACCCGGCGTGATGCTGCAGCGATTGCATGATCTGTTGCCGCACTGAGTCCACATCCCATGGCGCCTGCTGTTGCTGAAAACTGTCACCGATGCAGCATGATGTGGCAATCATTGTTCAAGCGATATCCCCGAGAAACCATTTGCGATACTATTCCGAACTCGTTGACACCTGGCATCTCGCGAGGATACTTCCGAACATTGGCCATGTCAGTGTTCCCTCATCTTCAACCCTCTCAGCCAAAATGCTGACTGTGCAACAATCGCTTGGGCAGGTGTTGCAAGGCACCGGAGGAAGTCGCCTGAGGCTGGTGAGCCACTTCCCATCGTCAAAGAAGCTAACCTGTGCCCACTCTCAAGCGGCCATTAGGCGCTCCTAAACTCAGGTGTCTGTTGCGACCCTTATCTTGTTCCAGTGGCCTGTCGAAGGTTGTCGGCCAAGGGGCATTTCTCCCTCCACCAGCAGAGCAAACAAGCAACACGAAACACATGCATGCTGCTCATCTGCATATGCTGATCATAAACTCACGGTGCCAGGTACAGTTCAGATGTTGATTTGCTGCATGTACCTGTCGATATGTCAATCAATCGCTACGCTCGCCCGGGAAAGCTGCCATAAGTTCTTTTCTAGCATGCCGAGTCTATGTGTCGAGAGCAGACTCACACGGCAAGAACATCTTTTGCGCTTCTGTTGCAATCGAGGCAATTGTGGACTACATTTGCCCTCATCCGGCCATCCGTTCCACTTCTGCCCTCTTAAGTCTAGAATCTACTTTAAACGGCCGATATCTGTCGGGTCCGGAGCTTCAACTTTCGCCTCTTCGTGCATGCAGCAAAGTAGCCAATCTGCTTGATGTACCAGCCTGCAACGTTAGATCTCCGCACAAGTCTCACCAGCTTAAGTAGCCAGATGGTTGACTCTTCACCCCGCTGCGCCGAAACCTGAGGTGCAACGACACAACATACAAACGAGACGAAAACCCTTCAGATGCAAGAACGTGAAGCGATGCGTGAATCAGCTGCAGTCTGCAGTCTCATGCCTTGCGCGTTCCTAGGCAGACCACCCAGCCTTTGCCCTGGGCCTGCCCGACCCGAAAGGATGAACTCCCAAACCTTGGTTGAACATGGTGAAGAGCAGACGAGAACTAGATCCCGACCACCACCACCACCAACACGACTACTCGCAGCGCCAGCACTGGCACTGCTCCTAGCCCAAGCCGTAGTGCCAGCGCCAACACTAGCATCACCACATTAGCAGCAGCACAAGCACTACTCCTCCTCCTCCTCCTGCTCCTACTGCTGCTCGGCTCTGGGCAGCCACGAAGCATGGTTGCTATTGCTACCTATTGAGACATCGTCTGATGGAGAAGCTAGCGCCACGGACCAGAAGGAACTTTCAACGAGCAGCTGCAAGTAGCAACAGGACGTGATGAGCACAGCAAAGTCTCAACCCTGTAACTTGCAACATCTTGCAACGTTCAAGGCTTCAAGGCCCTTTGCCACGGCACCTTGGAGAGCGTCGAGGTGGGAGCAGAGGCTGTATGGTCCGCACTTGGCAGCATGGCCTTGGCCAGGCGAAGTGGTTACCGGAGCTTCAAAGTCTGTCGTATAGGAAATTCCGACTTGCGGAAGGCTTTGCGTTGAGGCCGTTGAAGATGAAAACAATCCGTGCCGGATCGGAGCACGACTACCATGGAACACGGCTCATGGGCTCGGCAGCAGTGCTTTTCCACTGTGGCCCGAACTCTGCATCTCTCAACTGCAGCAGCGCTGCAGCTGTAGTTGTACATCAATGGACCTGCGAGGGCTTATGCATAGACAGTTTTGCCAAGGTTGCACCTCGCAGACACTTGTGGGGCCTCAGCCTCTGCCACGTCAGAAGCTCAAGTCTGAACTGTGAACCCTACCCAGCGGGCTTGAACCTGCAGTGACGCGTCCATCATCTTCTGAGCCTCGGTGGCGTTGGATGGCATTGGCTCAGCTTTGGGATGTGATTAGCCAATTGCGAGGCATGGAGTCTCCTTCGAGACAATCGTAGGTTGGGGATGCCGACGCTCCGGATCCCAAACTCGGAATGCATTGACATGGGTGAGACTAGCTTTTTTGGCCGACGCTGCAAAGCACGACAGCAGCAAGACGACCAGTTTTGGCGCCGCCAAGAAGATTGGAAACTACCGTGGAAGATTACTGGATCGGTGCTTCACATGCAGGTGGATGGATATCGATTTGTGGATGCCGTCAAAACCTGCCGTGTTGTATTGAAGAATGGAAGAGGACCGCGCGGGTGTCTAGTCCAGGCAGACTAGATTGCTCTTCCGTCATCGATCCAGTTCCTGACGCAGAGAGTTGGACATTCCTCGATTCTCGAACGTGTCCGTGCACGCAGCCTGACCCACTGTTCTTCCTTCGTTTCTTGAACATTCTCGAACATGGTGCAAAGAATCAGCAAGCATCAGTCTGTGCCGCGGCTACCTCAATACTCACGAAACTCGCATGAAGACGTTTGCTCTATACAGCCCCAGTGCTGGACCATCAAACAGCAGCTCGCGAGCCTTAAAAAACTTTGGGGATCTCATGACGCAGTTATAGAGGCCCTGAACCCGTCCGTCAACCCCCCAACTCTATCTTGGCCGAGCTGTTCTGCACAAATGGTCTCAGGCTTCACACGTGCCATCGGCAGGTGAAACTTCCGAACGGTTTCGCGACAAGTTGCCGTCAGGAGCACAACATAATTTCGTTCCAGCTGGACTGATGCGAACAGCTACTGTAACAAGTTCATGGCACAGCGGCATACCATGCGTATCGCTTCATGTGCATACGGTGTAACATAGATTCGCCCGCTGCATGAACATGCCAGTGCACGACTGGTGCAATATTCGGTGATGTTTTAAAACAATATGATGGACTAGTCGGGCAGACGAAATAAACTGCCAATCAAAAACACTGGTATTTGGCTTGTTGCACAGGTAGCTGTAAGAAAGTTCCTATGCAGCCCGATGACTCAACAAAATAGTTTGCGATGCTGTGCAGTGATATTGCCAGTGCCAGCCTGCGTTGTGAAAAGAAAGTTCATTGCCCTGCATGGACCCCCTCTAATGCCTTAGCTTCATGAATTGCATGCCCAGCAATGACCGACAGCTACTCAACTAGTTCGTGCAAAGTCAGCTGGCCCTGGGCCCTCTTGGCCTCCTGACCGCGACAGCGATGGACGGAAGGACATGTCACATAGCCCTAACCTGCGATTTGGGCTCTGGGCGTTGCAAGTCACAATCTCCTTAGCTCACTATATATAGGGTCAGGAGGGTCGAGGGATCTTCAGGGCTTGTGGACAACGATCTCCTGTCCTTTGGAAAGACGTATCGGGCAACAACGAAGCAGTCAGAATTCGGTCCAGCACCCGTCGGCCGCTCGTCATGAATAACTACATTCTCCCTTTGCGACTATATGTCAAACATATCCAGCCTCGGGTCTGATGAGCTGTCCTATCCCGCATCTTCCTCCACGTCCACCCCATCTTCAGAACACGCCATTCAACAGCAGCATCGTCAGGCAGCTCACGCTGCTCAACGAGCACCAGGATTAACTGCTACCCCTTTGAACCCTTGAACTTTCCACGAACCGGCACATGTTGAAGCGATGCAGATGTTCTTTGAGGTTGCGAGGGTCGGCAACTTATTGTTGCAGATATCTCAACCCGCCTGCCTAGACAAGGACGACTTGGATTATGACTATGACTATGGGCAATGCTTGAAAAAGCTTGGGATGTGTGCTTCAAGCAATGGCAGGCAGGCGCTCACCGCAAAGTTGTTGTCATTGGCCAGCTGTATTGTTAAGGACATGCGGTGCGTTGAGAAATAAAGGATGGTGCATCGGAACGGGGGCACGTGTTTTTCGAGTAAATCAAGCAGTTTTGAATTATATGTATATGTTGAATGATGTTACGGGATAAAGCCTTATCGCTACGAGGAATTACTCGTAAACACAAACTCTGCCAAATAAAATGCGGATCCTGACCAAACTGGACCCTGCAGACTCCTGAGGACCCATGCGAGATTTCGAATCGTGGTCACGAAACCACCCGTCGTGCGAGGTTCGTGCAGACATGGCGTAGGCATGCGTAGGCTTGAAAAAGCAGAAACTTCGCACTGCAAGGACCACAAGATCACATTCCGAAATCCGCCTTGCGGGTCCTGGAAGCCCAAGCTTTCACAGCCTTCCCTAGCTGCACTCGTCTGCAAGAGCAGGTGGATAGCACAGCGATTCCAAGCAGCGGGTTAGTTAATGTTCACGAACATCTGACCTCTGGACAGCAGCGAACTGTAGGAAATTGAATTTCCAACTTTAGTGCTTCCTGGCTTGCGTGACAGAAACGGTCCTGTTGGGTCCACGAGCTCTGGAGCCTGACAGAAACCGTCTGGCTTAACAAATCTCAATGCTGACGCGTGAAATGGAATTCTCGACCGCTGCGGTAGCGGCCAGAGACGAGCAAGAGCCTGGTCGTGTTTGACCACCTTTTTCGCATCAGAATCATCTTAGCTTTAGCAAAATTCTCCAACACATACAATCAGTCTGTCTGGTGGTCTGTACAATGCGCCGCAACTGACAGGCTCCTTGCCTGAAAGTTTGCTGGTGTCTTGTCGGCGCACCTCGCTCCTAATGCAACTTCGGGGCACAGCTCTGTATTGCTGCCCCGGTGCAAGATCTCATATGTGGGAACGTGCGTCTCCTCATCGCATCTCGGCGTTACTCCCTTCACTATACCAGATCTTCAGAGGATCGCGGTCTGCAACAGCCAAAGACAAACGACGGACTGTTAACACAAACGGAGGTGGAGGCGTGCAAATGCTGCGGCGATGGTTGATGGTTGAGGGCTCCGGTTCAATTGCTCAGAGTCAGGGTACCTGGGATATTTCCCGGGTTAACCGCACGAGCTGCTGCAAGGAGTGGTCCAAACAGCATCCACAAGCATGTGCCAACGCGATTTTGAAAACAGGCAGCTGCACCAGGAATGCACGCAGCAATTGATCACGACCCTAGCGCAAAATGAAACACGTACGGTTGAAGTTCTGAGGCTACAAAAATTCAAGGAGCACTCAAACCGTCGGCTTGTCCTCAAACTTCGTTCGGGATGCCCGCGCATGTAAGGTAAAGAGAATGCACAATGAGTGCTCACATTATCTTGCACGCGGACCCTGTCAAACCGTATGCCGGGATGTAGCTTGCTTAGAATGCTGGCAGCACAATCCTGAGCAATGCAGCGTATGCCGACCCTTGTTGGGGCGAGTGCTTCGATTCGAAGCAGCATGCACTATTTTTCACTATCTCATGGCAAACGAGCCTAGCAGACTCCAAAAAGGGAAATTATCCAGCGAATTTCGTTCTACTGCCACAATGGTTGCATGTTCGATGCCGCTCCGAACGGCGCAAGCCAACTGGCTGCACACTTCTCGCGATAGACGGAGACATACGGAGACCTTCCAAACAGGTTGACAGCAAGAGCCTCCAGCGCGAAAACACGGACTACGCTGATTCAGCGTCAGCATTTCTGAAGCAAAGCCCTCGCCGGGACTTCCCGCACATGTTTAATGTCCAGCTCTGAGATGCTCTCCGCTGACTCGCATAGCGGGACCCGTGCCGCAAAACATGACACACTAGACCTCGTGAGTTCAAAGCTCATCTACCCATGCAGGTGAAGCAAGGCTCAGGAGTTCTGGACATATGCACGACTACTTCCGCACATCAGCTCAGCGCGACAAATGCAAACAGGGCGAGATGCACCTTCCTCAATGTAGCTTCGCGAGAAAAACGCAGTGTAGCTTTTCGGTGGATCCGTCCTTATCCCTGCTCACATCATATAGTATGATATACTACTTCTGCCGAGAATAAACGTGTTCAGGTTCGAGTCCCTTCAACATGGTCGGAGAAGTAGGAACTATCAACCAAGCGTCTTGTCATGTATGATGCATGCTCATGCAGGCTGCACCTGCGTTGGTGACAGATCAAACATGTATGAGAACACATGATCATTCGGGAGGATTAAGCTAACCTCTTGAACACGAAGGGACTCTTCCTGCCGTCTTCTTCTGTCAGAGCAGACCACCCAGCGGCTCAAAGGGATGTGATGCCATGCTGCGCAGCGGCGCGCTCCAGCCTTTCGGACGGCAGTCTCAGGCTACCGACAGACAATGATAGATGTTAGACATGTTAGCACACAAAAAAGGGCCTACCCCTAGACCAGCTCAGACGCTCCATAAGCATCGTTATCTCCTGGAGTTTGTCTCCTTCAGGTGTCCTCTGACCTTCGTCTTGGAGCTTCTGCAACAAGATGTTCAGCAGCTGCCTGATGGTCATGCTCCGAAACACAGCCTGGAATCGACCATCGACCCGAGAAACAGGCAGCGCAGCATCTGCGAATCCAGCTAAGTGTGGTGACACTGTCGCCCAGAGCTGAGGGAGCCAGTTCGAGAGGTCCGCAACTTTCTTCGCTATTTCCGGCATGATGACTCGGTAAAGCTCAGCGCCAGAGATAGCTTTGAGAACCTTCCTGTTTCGCTTGTCCAAATGCGGAGGTCGCTTCTCGTGAGGAAGGTGGCAGAAGGGGCAAGCATCACCATGGATGCAGCTGCCGCTTGCAAAGTAGATGCACGGTCGGGAACAAAGCTCTGGGTGCCAGATACTGCCCGGGCTGGGACCGTCACGGAGCCTTAGGTCCTCAGAAGCGCGCTGCGGAACTGCGGGGAGTGGAGCTCTAGACATACGACAGGTCTGCGTGAGGGGCCGAGGGCTCTTG